GAAAATATCACAGTCAAGTGAGATTAATTTTTGTTTTCACTGTGTCCTTACTCCCTGAGTAAAGACTTTCCATGAGTTACTTGCAGATTACTTTGTTCACACTCCATGTCTGAACACCACTCACTAAGCATTTCAGTGCTACTTCAATCCTGACTTAGGTATGACAGGTTGGGGAGATGTTAATTTTCTAAAAAGCATGTGATGTGTTATTTGTCAATCTTGAACCCCTAGTGTTTCTCCCAACTGACTTTTTTGTGCTCATCTGATTAACTTCTTTTGTTCTTAGGTGGCCACTTACACAAACTATAATAAACTCACAATCACTATCTTCTGATTCATCTAATTATAGACACAGGGGAAAATGTTATTATCAAAGTCTCTGATTAAATCACTGCATGCTCCTCGTTATGAAAATCCCTTCTTACCTTTGTCCACTCTGTCAGATCATGTCTTTAGCAGAGTAAAGAGTTCTTTCATAGAGTAGCTTTTAATACTGCTTAGGAGTTGGACTGTGCTAGGGGGAACATGCTGGAAAAGGCCACCATATTTCCTCCCCTTCAGTTTTCCTGGCAGATAATCACTAAGCAGGATTAGTGTTATCAGGATGTAAACAAAACACAGGTATGCATTTGGAGATGCCTCACTGTTTACACAGTATTCTGTATTTGGGCTCACAGGCCACATAAGACTTAAGTATCACTTAATTCATAGAATCATAGAATCATAGAATAGGTAGGGTTGGAAGAGACCTCCAAGATCATCAAGTCCAACCCCTGATCCAACTCCAATTACTATATCATGGCACTAAGGGCCACGTCCAATCTCTTTTTAAAAACCTCCAGGGATGGTGAATCCACCACCTCTCTGGGTAGGCCGTTCCAATGTCTGATAACCCTCTCTGTAAAGAATTTTTTCCTAACATCTAACCTAAACCTCCCCTGGCAGAGCTTGAGCCCATGTCCCCTTGTCCTATTGTTGGTTGCCCGGGAGAAGAGACCAACCCCCGCCTGGCTATAACCTCCCTTCAGGTAGTTGAAGAGAGTGATGAGGTCGCCTCTAAGCCTTCTCTTCTCCAGACTAAACAACCCCAGCTCCCTCAGCCTCTCCTCATAGGACTTGTGCTCAAGTCCCTTCACCAGCCTCGTTGCTCTTCTCTGGACCCGCTCCAGCACCTCAATGTCCTTCCTGAACTGAGGGGCCCAGAGCTGAACACAATACTCAAGGTGTGGCCTCACCAATGCAGAGTACAAGGGAAGGATCACTTCCCTGCTCCTGCTGGCCACACTGTTCCTGATAATTATCCTCCTCCCTTTGATTTCAAACACACTCCCAGTGATCACACCCTGGCACTGCTTTCTCTGGATCCTGGGAGCTGAACAGGGTGCTTCCCTTTCCAGCTCCTGGCCCTGGAAACAGCCATGTACTGCACGGAGAGTGATGACCCAGAGCCCCTGGAAATGGTGGATAACTTCAGGAACGTTCAGGAATTTCACGAAAGACTGGTTTTTATCTCCTTCCGTGAAGGTAAGTTGTGTGAATGCTTCTGTGCAAAGAAACAGTGCCCAGTCATTTGGGGACACTTGAAATACTGAGGTGGCAGTGCTGTTGCACTGTACCACTGCAGAAATACAGCAATCTCATTTTCCAGCAGATCCCTTTGTTCCCTTTTCTTCTCTTACTGCACTGTTGCATGGGCAGCTGTACAAGAATAAGGTGCTCACAGAGTACATAAGAATTATTTTTTCCACAGTGGGTGTCAGGCAAGACCTGCAACCCTTCTGATCAAAGGCAAGGAGGTAAAAGAAGAAAAACATATTTGGCCTTCTCATGCTTAGCAGAAGTATTTGCTGTCACTACAAACACTGAACAGCTTAAGCTGGCCTTGCTTCACCAGTGATATTTGCTGATTCTCAGCAGTGTCAGGCTTGGTTTTAAGCAAACCACACGCTTAAAGGGAACCACAACTCTGCCTTTCAGGGACACTGTTTTGGGGAAATCACACAGAATCAGAGGAGGTCCTTGAGGAATTCAAACTTGACAAATAAAAATAATTCATAACACTGGATTGTATGATCCAGCGTTACAAATAAAAAAGAAAGGTCATCTTATGAGGAAAAACTGATTTAAAAGCTTAATTATGCAGGGTTACTCAATGGCAATGCTTAAGTTTGGTGGGGGGTTTGCACAAAAGTCTGCATCTGTGGTGAGGTGCTGAGCTGTACCCACAGGAAGGCATTGGAGTATATTGTTTGTGCAAAATGAATTGTTCCAAATTCTTTGTTGTCTCGCAAATAAATACTCTCAGGCGTCTGTGAAGGTGGCACATACACTGAGGGCAGAGGAGTCTATGCAAGCCCCTCTACTGTTTGAAATGGGGACTAAAAGATTTCTAAAAGAAAAAGGAGACAGTACAAAAAAGATTGGCCAAGCACTAAACTTTCAAATTAATAAAATGTGTTAGGACATCATTTCACCTTTGCCTGCCAGTTTCTTCACTGTTTAGATGAAAGAACAGAAAGCACAGGAGTTGTGTATATTGGGAAGTGTCACACAGTAGCCACTGCAGGGACAGTTCCCTGCAGACACACTGCAGTAACTGTTCTTGCCATTCCCCCCTGCAGACAGACCACCTCATAACAGATCTCTTCTGATGTAAAGCTATAAAGAAGAGTGAAAATCAGAGATCAGCTAAAAAAAAACCCAGGCAGAACATTTCTCTGAAATCAGAGATGATTTAGCCTTGTCACCCAAAGGTGGCTGATCTCCTGTCAGTTCAGCTGCACCAAACTCCCAGCCAGAGCAGTGTGGGGCATCAGCAGCGTTTGGCCCTTACTTGGAGCAAATCTCCATCTTTGAGATAAAACCCAGAGACAATTTCAGAAGTCCTCCTGTGGCTGGGGACCATTTCAGTTCTCATGACAACATTTTAAAATCTTTCTAAAGCTTCCTTTAAGAGGAACCACCATGAAGTTTCTTTTGAGTGCCTTCTATGGAATTAATGCACATAATTAGTAATTACTTAAGTTTATCAAAATTTATCAAAATTCAATACCTGGTGGACTTGGCAGGGATATGTTGTTGATTGCTAACCACATGCATGAGCCAGTGATTTTCTGAGTCAGACTGGTCAGTCAGAAATGAGAAATGCACTTATCCACCTGCTCCTTACATTCACTTTTCAGCACTGACTTACATTCTTTCTGTAAATCACACTCAGTACTTGAAAGTAGAAGGTAGAGAGTTACAATCCATGATCCCAGTAACTAAAAATCAGACACTATATTTTCATCCAGGATCTCCAAACACTTCACAGAAATAGTGTAAGCAGTATTTCCATCCCTGGGGGGAAATCTGACCCAGATGTGACTTTCTCAAAATTGTTGCTGTGAACCAGTGCCAAACCCAATAACAATATTTGGCTCCCCCTCTGCTAAGCCACATTATTTGGCTCCCATGAAGAGGTGACACCAGCTACAAAAGCATTTTCAATGTCTCTTTAAAGCTGGCATGACTTAGCAGAGTTAAATGGTGTGGCTTATTGCCCATCCTGCTGTTCTTACCCAAGAACTGGTCTTTATGGCTATGAAAGACACTGCCCAGTGCTCCTTGAATAGAAACCCCATTCAGTCCAACAACATTTAATTACAGAAGCTCATTGACTCTATCAGTGAACCATAGAAAAAATGTTCAACCCATTTCAGAAAAGGTATTCACGGCCCCTGTAATCTCACATTCCGCTCACCACAGTCACAAAGGCTCCCCCACAGGTGCAGCCCCTCACCTAAAGGGAAAGAAAAGAAAGACAAAGAAAAAGAAGAAAAAAAATGTCGCCATCAAAGCACAGTTCAGTCCAGCTGGTTGGGGGCTGTAAGTGCCCAGCCTGATGCAGCTGAACCATGGGTAGGGACAGAGCACATCTGAAGACAAGGGAAGGAAAAGCCACCCAGGGAATCATGGCTTGGGCCAGGCAACCCCAGAAATTTGTGAAAGAAGTCCCGTTGTGCACACCTAGAGCCCAACTAAGCAGATGTTCAGAGCAACTTTTCTGCCCTTTCAGTGCCAAGGCTGCCACCTCCACCTGAGCACAGAGGCCACAAGATGAGGCCACTGGCCTGTGTTTGGCATGCAAATTGCAAATGACTGAAGTGCTCAGTCATCCACATTTTTGATGCCAATAATTAATATCTAAACTCATGCTCACTCTTAACAAGAATACATCTCAAAAGGTCTCTAATCTTGAAGGATTATGCAGCAAAACTCACATATGTTCACAATGTATTCTGGCTGTCAGCAATCTACTCCAGTGAAATCAGCTTCACATTCACGCAGCTGGAATTTGTTATGATGTTCAAACCTTCCACTGCCCACAAGCTCAGTGGGAACTGGTGTCTAGTTTTGGTTGTGGTACCATGCTGGAATTCTATCTAAGCAAATTTTGTAAGAAGATTGTCTCATCAGACAGAAATGCTCCCCAACTTTCCTCTTCAAACTACAAGTTCTCTTTTCTACAGTTATCTTATCTATTTGGTGTTGTATTTTCTTGTCCATTTGATGCACCTTTACTATAACAAAACTCCCTTTTTGTAAAATAGCTCTCCTTCAACTCCATGGATTCTGAGCTTCTTCCATTCAGTTGGACTTAAAAGTAATAATGGGTTAAATGGGATAAGATTAAATGCCAGGTTTTACATTTCGGTTTTCTCAACAGCTGATTTAAAAATAGAAAATATTTAGATGGAATATATGAAACCTGTCAGTTTGACTCTGAAAGAGTTCTGATGTTGTTTAGACAGAAACAGTCATTGGATAAAACGTAAAAAACAATGAATTAAGAAAATGCAGTTAAGAGAGCTCACCTTCAGGATCTTTGGGGAGGCCAAAATAAATAAAAATACTTTATTGCCAAAATGTGTATATGAAGGTCACTAGCAAACTTAACATCTCTATGAAAACAAGGGAACACTCAGATCTTCATACCACTATCCTGAATTAGTTCTTACCTTCTTCAGTGCCTTTAAGCAATGTTCTCAACAGCAAAGCAGATCACTTTTCAGCTCTCCACACTCAGTGGTGTTCTGCCTTGAAAAAGCAAAAGGCATCGAATTTAACAGCTTTACTTGCCTGGGTTTACTTCTTTAGTTCTGCTTATGATCTCTTATGCATTATAGCACAAAAATCAAGATTTTCTGACCTCTCTGCCTGTGCATGTTGGTGCTGTGACTCCAGTGTGTGTCTGACTTCCCAGCACGGTGAGCTGTGGATCCAGCTGTGGGAGCAGGACCTTCCAGGGCACAGCTGTGCAAAGTTATCCACTCCATAATCACAAAACAGGCTGCAGGAAAGCTGCAGATGCAGAATGCAAATGTTATGACACCTTAGGCACTGACCTTCTTCTCTCAAATCAAGGATATTAACAGTTCTGGATGCTTTCCCTCCCTTGCCAGGTTTTGTTGTTTCTGCTGTGATAGCCTGCATCCTGGCAGTCCTCACCATCCTTGCAGTAGCCTTGTGGCTCTTGAGGAAGAGAAGGTAAGATGTCTGCCTGTCACATCACAAAAAAAGGAAGCCAAACCAAATTTTTCCTCTGACGCAAAGAAGCGCTTGTGAGTCCAAAACCGGCAATGTTTGATCTTTTATAAGACATGATCTCTTCCTACAAAATTTGATTTGTTTTTATCACTGTAGACATTATTTCCCCTGTATCATACACTCCAAAGCAATTTTGTTTTATTGCCAGCAAAATATGTTTATTTGGCTGAAAGGTCTCTCCATGCTGCAACCTCTGTGCCACAGTGGCCACTGTTCTGCCATTGTAGGAGCGGTTGGGTTTTGTGAAAAGCAAACATATACAGTTGTTTTTCCACAAAATAATAATTGCTGGAGCAGTGCTCAAGTAAACCCTTAAAAGATGCAAGGCCAGGAAATAGAGAATTGTGTGTGATGAATCAGGGAGAACACAAACCCCGGAATATTTCCTAGAACAGTAAGGGAAACGAAGATAATGGAATTTTAGGAAAACCTCTCCCAAAGTTCACATCATTTTAGGGGAAGAAATATGTATTGTTAAAAGATCATTTAGCCACTGTTTGCCAACAAAACCAAATCCTGGAAAAAAAATCTAAGATTACAAACTTTCCTACAGCCTGACCCCTTTGCATCCTGCATTGACTCTGCACACAGAATGTGTTCTCCTGAAATATTTGCAACAATAAACTACTGCAACATTTGCACTGGTACAGAGAAAAATAACCTCATGCCTGCATAATGGACCATCTTAAGTAACTAATGGTGCTTTTCCTTCATTGGGATTACAGTTATTTAATACATTTATTTTATTTTAGCTGCAAAAAGGAAGGGCAAGACAACAGAGGAGTCATCTACAAACCAGGCACGTACAAGGAGGAAGAAGACCTCTCCAAAATGTGATGCCCTGCTCTGTCACAAAAGCCCCTTTTCATTCATAGCACTGATTTACTTTGGATTGGTGAAACACATCTCTTGTTCTTGGCTAACGATAAGCCTCAAGAGAGTTCTAAAAACAGGTACCAGCTGAAAGTTTTGTGTAGCCCTCGTTTCCTTGTTTTCCAGAGAGATATGATCAGTGAATACCCATGAACTGAATTCCTCACCCCATTCCTTTCATGTCTGCTGCTCACTGAGTCTGGGTGTTTAAATTGATTTTACAGTTAATCCTAAACTCCAGTTTTATGGTTTGTTTAGCACAGGTTTTCCCACAGGTGTTCCAATCTGAATACTCTCATCAAGCTACAAAAAGTCTTCCCTGCTAAATCAGGGTATTGGTTTCAGCATCGTGAATATAAACAAGATAAAGGGCAAACTGTATTTGAGATAAGAGTTTGAACTGGGTTGTTCAGCTGATACAGTTTTTAGAAGCACAGCAAATGATGCCAGTACATTCACCAGTGGAACTGGAAAGGAGGAAAAGGAAAGTGTAAATGCAATGGGAGCCACAAGGATTATTAATGGAGTTCAAACCCAGGAACTCAGTGCTGAAAAAAACACTACTGCTAGAGGAACAGCTCACCTTCCAGACATCACACAGCCTCAGAAATCTACTGTGGAGGCCAGCCCTGACTGTCACTGGAATGAGAGAAGCATCCTGTCTTATTATCCTGCTCTTATTTATAGTGTCTGTATATATGATGCAGTTGCTGCTGCTTTTAAGCAGACTTGTCATTTAATCGTGAAATCCTGATTGATTTTACAGTATATATTACAGCTGCAATTAAACAGTAGATGATTTTGCTGATTTAGTTCTCTGACTTTAGTAATTTAATTCCTAGAAAATAATCTAAATTATCTTTTCAGACCTTGTAAGCTAGATACTCGAGTCTCATTTTATATTTCTGAAGGTGAGAAGTATAAATCTGACTATGCTTCCACTGAAGACAATGTGGAATGTCATTGACATCAGGAAGAAAAGTGTGGAGCCAGCCCAGCCCCAGTGCATACAGAATTCCTCTTGAATTGGACATTGAAAGTGAGGATCTGAAATGCTTATACTTAATACACACAGAGGAAGTGACAGAGCACAGGTTATTCCTAAAATAACTCCAGGTCTGAACGCTGCTAAACACCACAACCTGAACTTCACACTTAGGGCCATCTTACATTCAGTAGCAGCACCACCACAGTTGTGATTTTAATTAAATAAACTCTTATAACGTGTGTTTTCTCATTTAAAAAAGGCAGATGCATACAGTTTCAGCATAGAATGTTTTAGATTCTTCCCCTTCCGTCCCCAAGAAAACTGTTTACTGTCAAAAGCAAGCTTTTGAGTGCCAGGAGAAATAACTCATTACTTACTGTACATGAAATTTAGGAGCACAATCTTACAGCTAAGCACATTGCATATTCCAGCATTTTTATCTCACATAAACAAAACACATAAAGGTCATCTTGTGGAAGTGTTTGAAATTATTTAAAAAGCAGCAGTTGTGTGCTATGGGGAGCATTACTTACTGTTTGAATAAAGGTGTTCAAAGACAAGATTAGATAATAAATTTTTATGCTTTTTCTTTGGTTTCTCTTGTTTCTTCTTGAAGAGTAACATTTTATTGTGTATTTTAATCTTCAGCTCAACTGATCAGAAACATCCATCAATCACTCTCTTCTGCAGGCACCTGTAAAAAGAAGCATCAAAACCTCAGCCAAAGCAAATTCTCACAGTGCCAGCAAAGAAAACACACCACGCACCAGGGGGAAAATGTCTCATTCAGAATTGTTTCTTGAGCAAAAGAACAAACTTAAGCAAAAGAGGGATTCACACAAATCATATTCCTGCTACTCCCACTTATAACACCCTCTAATTGTGTGGAGTCCTCCTATGAAATCCAGGCTGCCTTGGAAAATGCAAACGCAGGGGAAGTTTTATTTTTCTTTAATATTGTGTTACCAGTTGGCACTGCCAGTGGTGCCTGAGCTGAAAGAATCCAAACCCATGTGTTTTCTGGGCTCTGTAGCTACTGTCATTTAATAACCCTATTGAAGTATCACATTTTTTAATAGTTTCCAGGAGATTCCTTGTGTCATTCTTACATGCACAATATTTGAGATGTCTGGAAAAAATCAGGCACGATCAGAAAGACAGATGCAGTTACCATGTTACCATAATAAACCAAGTCACAAAAATCTCAATTCGCTTCTTTTCAAATGGAATGACACATTTCTGAGCCTCCAAGAGCAGAAATGAAGAATAAATAACTTAAGCCAGCAAAGCGAAGGAGTTAGATGGCACAAGGGTGTACAGCTCTCCTTCCATCCCTTCCTAAGGCTGCTCTGCTAAAAGGTGTGTGCAGTGGGGTCATGATAAATACCTTATTTTTGCATTTTCTCCACTGTGAACAGTGTAGGGGTACAACACACCTTGGACAACTAAATGTGTTTCAGAACTTGCTGAGGGAGCACCGAGTCACAAAAAAGTTCCACACGTATCATCTCTGATGTACAACAACAAACCCCAAAGGATTATTTTAATATAAACACCTAAAAGTTATTGCCCATCAAAAGCGAATTTTAACTTCTGACAAAGCATATTAAAAATAGAAGCTTTGGGGGACAAAAAAAAGTCTTCTTGACTTCAGCTAAAATGGTGGAAAGAAAATGGAGTAGTTTTGCTATGGCAAAGCTCTAGGTGTTGAAGTAGAATGTTATTTTCATTAATTCTACAGCAAGATCAATACACTAATTCTCAGTTTAAAGCCTAGTCCTCAATTTTAAACCTGTTACCTGTTTATAAAGCATATAAATTTAATATTGAATCATTTGTCTTCCTTGCAGAAAGCTCCAAGTGAACAATTAAGATGCCCAAATGTGTGGTACCCGTGGGGAGGTTTGAACTGTGCATTTCAAACTGCTGCCTGACAAAAGCCAAGTTATAAAGTAAATAAATATTGATTTTTTTTCCCCCTCCCCTAAATGCAAGAAGGCACCAGTTGCTCTAACTGTGGAGGGGCTTTATAATCTGCCCCATTTTTCACTTCCCCTACTGTCAAGACCTTAAGGAAATTAAACTGGTGAACTCACAGGACTTGATGTCATCAAGTGGCTCAGAACAATCAGCACCACCACCAACCACTGCTTTTTTATTATCTGCAAGTAATCAAAACTTCTGAAATTCTACAAGAAAACTGTAAATAGTTATTCTTATACAATGAGCATATTTTGAAAAATCAGCTTATGGCTTTATTGTGGTGTGGGCATTTTTAAACACCAATACAGCTTGAACATAAAAATTCAAAAGGACACTGGAAGGGTTTTATTATTACTTTGCAAGGAATATTTAAATCTTATTTCACTTTATTTTATTTTCCTTGGTTTTTCATTCTACTTAAAAAAAGACATTTTCCTTCATCACTAGAAAACATAGACTGGAGCTTAACCTCCCACACACACCCTTAAAAGAAGGCAATATTTATATGTTCTACACTCCAAAAATGTCACATAATCAGGAATATTACAGAAAAGTAAAATCTGACACCTTATTTCAGTTTTGGCTGCATATTCAACAGGAAATATTCACAGAGACACTTCAAATTCCCTGTACTTTAATTAGAACATCATTTCTCACTGATGGCCAGCAAGTCAAACTCAATACTGGGATCTCTCAAAATAAGTGATTTTATTAATTAAAAACATTCCTATGAATGTTAAGTTCTGCTTTGCCATTCTCACAAAAAAAGTGTCAAAGCCATTTTGCAAAAAATGGTTTTGGAAGCCTATTTCTGAGCAGCTAAACAGAAAATGAAGTGGTTAAACTTGGAAATAATGCCCATCACTTGTACCTGACTCTTAATCAGAACACGAGCTGTGACAATACACTC